TGGGGGTGATTGGGAGTGTTTGTTTTGCTGGATGCCCACTGACCTCGTCCCTGTGTGCCACATCCACATGGTTGTGGAACACCATGAGGAATGGCGATTCCACCACTTCCCTGGGCAGCCTGTGCCACTGCAGCACCACTCCTGAGAAGGAATTTTTCTTAATGCCCAACCTGCACCTCCCTCCTATGCAAATTAACAGCAATCGGACAAGAGGGAATGGCCTAAACTCAGAGAAGGGGATGACCCCTACCTCTCCACAACCTCCTTTCAGGCAGTTGTAGAGACTGATAAGGTCTCCCCTGAACTTCCTTCAGACTGAACAACCCGAGCTCCTTCAGCCATTCCTCATAAGACTTGTGCTACAGACCCCTCACAGCTCCATTGCCCTCCTCTGGACAATTTCCAGGGCTTTGAAGTATTTCTCGTAGTGAAGTTTTGAGTTGAAACTGAACCCAGATCCTTTCCCTCCGTGCAGCTTTCCAAGCGAAGAGACTTTGACTGGCTTAAGTTAAACCCTTAGCTTTTCACTAAGAGAAACCTTTCCCACTCTGGCAGCCTAGGGTGAACCGAGCCTCACACCTCGCAGGGGAGTCAGGGCCCGGCGACAGGCATTGCCTTTCCCCTCGGGACCACCAGGTGTCACCATCCACAAGCATGTCGGCCTGCCCAGCTCGGTTTCCAAGTGCCGAAGGAGGTTACTGTGAAGTGAGCCAGCACAGCTGTAGTCCATTGGTTTTCCTTGCCAGCGGGAGGAGGGCTTTGGGGTGGCAGGGAGGCAGAGCGTTCTTCGCTCGCGGCTGAGGCAGTTTGCTAGTGGGGTGGGTACACGCCTTTCTCTCATCAGAGGATGTTCCCCTGAGATCTCCAGCCAGAGAGCCTGCTGCTTCAGGCGGCTTAAGCTATGAAATGGAGTTGGGTAACAGTAACAGCATCTCCACTGGTTCTGCACAGCAGCGTTATAAAATGTGCCACATTCTTCTTTAGCTGATATTCGGAAACAATAGGGTGTCCTAATTGCAAAATAACTATTGCACTCTGGAAACACTCTTCATTAAATGAATCTCTACAGGAGAGGTGGGATTTATTACACTGCTTTAGTGGTCCACTAGTAATTAAAAAATCACATGTACTAAAAAAGCATTGAAGAATGAAGCATGAGTTTAAAAAGGGAGCTTCTTTGCCAGAAGAAGGTGTGGGGAATCTCACTGTGCCTGCTCCTAGCTCCCCAAGATGCTGCTTGCAGGCAGCAGGACAGCCCTTGTCTGTTCAGCACAAGCACCCACAGCAGCACCTTTGGCAGAGCATGCTGGTTTGTGTGCTGTGCTGCAGGCTGTGGAAGGGGCCCCACACGTGTTCAGCCTGTTAAGTCAGAGGCACAGCACAGAGACAGCGCAGAATGCAGGGCCCAGCAGCTAAGCAAAGGCAGAGATAAAAGCTTTTTGGATTTCTGTTACTGTTGCTTGGCTCTTGCAATTGGGAAAACAACATTCCTTTTTGGGAACTACAAGTCCCAAAGTGCACTGTGGGAAGACTCCGGCTTGTACCAGCCAGTGCCCAGCACAAATTCCCAAATATGGATAAGGAATCAATTTTGAAAAAGCCTCGCACTCACCGAATGCTCCTCACTGAGATTCTGAAAAGGAGTGAGACAGCATGAGAAAGAGGTGAGTGTGCGTTACGCAAAGATTTTGTTCAAAAGCATCTCCTGGAGAGAGCAGCTAAGAATATTCCGTTCCTTAGAAGGAGGGTGCAGCGCTGCCTGGGTGACAGTGGAGCTGGCTGCTGTGGCGATGGAAGGGACTTTGGAAAGGGAATTGTTGTTTCAGGTGGGAAAACAGCAGCAGGGGCAGCTGTGCTGTGGGGTGAGTCAGATCCTGCTTCCTTGCAGATGCTCTTTATTAATAAAGGACTATGGAAAGACATGTGGGCAGCAACAACAGTGCATTTCTTTGGAAGCAGAGAACGGCAGGGAAGAGGTGAGAGATGCACTAAGCAGCACGGCTGTGTGAGTTGTGGGGCTGTTGGTTAAGAAGCTAAGATGGAAAAAAAGCAGCTGTGTAATAATAATAATTATTATGGGTCAACGTACTGTCTGTGTAAGGTATGGTATGTTTTTGTACTTCACCGCTCTTCCTAGAGGGGACAGTGTGGTGCCTTGAAGGCCAAACTCTGACAGGTCCCTGGCCCGCAAACAACAGTAACTCAGTGCAATTACCTGTACCACTGGCAGTTGGTTAACAAGCCAAATGAAATCGTTCTGCCACAGAACCATCCCAGGAGAGACGAGGAATGCTGAACCCCCAGCCCACGTCTGTGACCTCTGGGCTGGTTGCAAATGCAGGAGCTGTGCCTGGCCATGGAGAGATGCATGTGGCAGTTTAGAATAGTACACTGAGCTATCACTTGGAGCTCAGTGCCAAACAAGAATGATGCTGTTTTTCCAGCCTTCGCTAAGTGCAAATTGTGTGAACTGTTTTTAAGGCTGTAAGAACCATTCTTGTACTTGGATTCTCCAATGCAGCTGTGCGATATCACTGCAGAAATACTAGAGGAAGTCAATGTGTTTGGCTGCATCTTGCTTCCTGGATAACAATCTCTAGTAACCAGAAAAGCTAAATTCAAGCAAATCTGCTGTCAGCGACAGGTGGTAGGAGAGGAAGGACTTCACCATGGATTTTGCCCTGTGGGTGGGGTGCTGAAGCCTGGCTCCTCGCCTCTGCTCTGAAATCTAGGGTTTTTGGTTGCAGTCACCCTGATTTTATAGAGGAAAAGAAAGGGGATGAGGTACAGAAGGGCTTTGTTTGTGTCTTCACCAGCTGTGAATGTGCAGGTTGCCCTCTTCCTCTCCCCCGAAGCAGTTCAAGGAGAGTTTAGAGTTACAGGCACCTGTAACAAGGCCTCCTGGGGTAAATCGCCTCAAGTATTAATCCAGATCTGACCAGCATGCGGTCACAGAGCTAGGGGCGCTGGCAGTCAGTCCTTTCTGTGGTCTCTTCTGTGTCAGTAGGCTGTTAATATGGGATTAGCAGCATTAGGGAGACCAGGAACTAGAAACAATGAGGCCTTCTGACTTGAAGAAACACCTTTACACCCATATAAAAACAAAGAGCAGAGTTACACATTATATAAAGGCATCATAAACAGAGCTGAAGAAAGGGCATTCTCTAGAAAAACTGCTGTTTTACAGAACGTTGTAGCTATTTATAAAGCAATGAGGTCCCAGCATACAGCACTGTCCCTTGCATCACATGCTTTTGTTTTGGTCTGGCTAGGCTATTACACGCCAGAACCTGTAGTTTGCTTGTAATTTCCACAGCAACACATCCCTATTAAACACAAAGGTAGCTGGCTGAAGTTCCTTTCAGTTCACCTGGACTCAGGGCTCCCTCTGGTTCCTGGCAGGCTGTCATGAGAGCCCTCAAGTGTGTGAAGATGAGCACTGTCTGGTTGAGCACCAAACAGCTGGCCAAGCATGACCTTCTGCTTTCATATTTTACTTAGTGTGGGACAGAATCAAACATGTTGTTTGAAACCTAGAACTAGTAAGCGGTGCCTCACCTGCTTTTGAGACCACTTGCTGATAGTTACTGGTTTTTAAAACACTGACCTCTTACAGTGGCCATACGAAAACCCATATAAATAACAGGCGAAGATGGTAGAAGACAGGAGAGAAAACTATGGAGGTAATCATAGTCACAGTCCAAATGGGGGATATCACATGACATTAAAGTATGAGCAAATTCCTGTTTTAACCTTCATCACAAACACAAACGCTGTGTCAAGTGCAAACACTGGAAACCAGAAAACTGGAAACACAGAGTTGTTTTCACAACTTGTAGTAACTTGTATTTTTCTCATTATAATGGCAGAAGGTTTCCGAAGCAAAGATCAATTTTAAATTAATTATGCCTTTTTCTTTGTTCCATATCAAACAAAATGCCAGACTTGGCAGGACAGCAAAGTATAACAGCTGTTACTTTTTATGTAGTTGTTAGTGGTATAATAGCAATAATTGGTGCAGGGTGGGGCATTTCATCACGGTAAGATGAGCCATTCGTTGAAAGCCTCAGGCTTCTTTTCTGCAACTAGTTATTACCTGTGAGAAAATACTGAAGGCTGTCACCAGCGTGGGTCAGTTGAATCCTGTTTGCCTAACACTGCTCCCCTCCATGGGCTGATTCAGAGTTGCATGCCGTTCTAATGGTTCATAGCTCTTCTTAGAATCTCCCCTACTGAAATCAGTTGTTGTCCGTTGATTTCTTTCTTTTCTCTTTTTTCAAAAGTGAATGATGTGCTCTCCTAGCTGGGAGAAATGCTTGACAGTGGGAATCCTGGAAGTACTGACACCGTATGGCAAATAAGAAAATAATATTTTCTCAATAATTCATAACTTCATAATTTCTCAT